GAATTGTCTTATTGTGTGCATATACTTGCACAATTCATGCAATGTCCGAAGCATGACCACTGGGAAGCCGCATTACGAGTTGTGCGATATTTGAAAGGAAACCCTGGACAAGGTGTACTGATGCGTGCTAATTGCGATTTGAAACTCTATGGCTATTGTGACTCTGATTGGGCAAGTTGTCCCTTGACTAGACGTTCATTAAGCGGATATTTTATTTTTCTTGGACAGTCACCTATATCTTGGAAAACTAAAAAGCAACAAACAGTGTCTCGTTCTTCGGCAGAAGCAGAATATCGATCCATGGCAACCGCCGTGTGTGAATTGAAGTGGTTGAAACGTCTATTGTTTGATCTTGGTGTGGCGCAAATTGAACCTATGCGTCTGCATTGTGATAGTCAAGCAGCTTTGCACATTGCTGCAAATCCTGTATTTCACGAACGCACAAAGCATATTGAGGTAGACTGTCACACTATACGCAATGAGATACAAGCAGGCAATATCCAAACTCAATACGTGCATACTACTTTACAACTTGCAGACATTTTCACCAAGGCTTTGGGAAAACGACAATTTGATTTCATTCTGAGCAAGTTGGGCATTCAAAATCCTCATGCTCCAACTTGAGGGGGGGTATTGACAATATTGCATAATATTTGTCTAATCTTTATCGATGGAGAGAAAAGATTGTTATTTCCTTGTATGTATATATTCCCTTTAATTTTCTGATTCATGATCTTCTAGTTTAGGGAAGTTAGGATTATGCTTAATGTATTTGTACTACAGAGAAACAGCAAGAAAAGGCAGAATGAGTTTTTTCAATATACTCGTTTTTTACATAATTCAACACACCATCAATGCAGCATAAACGAAATCTTTATTCACTAAATAAGAATAAGAGATTTACAAAATACAATCAATCGGAAAATCAAACAATTTATATTATTATTTTCTTCAAAACAAATTAAATGTCTACAGTTTTTCGTTCTCTCTCTCTCTCTCACACACACACACACTAACAATTAGTTGCTCGTTTGACACTCATCATATTTCTTTGACACCAATAGTCACTAATCTTGATGACGTACTTAATGATGAATTTCAACATAGAATAAACTTATTTTGAAAGCATTATTATGATAATTCCCAATCATTTCAACCTATAGTTTCTAAATAATCATTTCAACTTGAATGTGCTCTGTGTTTTGAACGTTACAATTATGAATCTTATTAGATCTTAATACACCTATACAAGGAAAAAAAAATTATTTTATCATCAAAGCTACATTTTAACTTTATTAAGTAATAGATTTATAGACGAAACAAATATAATACCAGAATTAACAGACTTAGGACTCGTACCGGTTACTAAATTAGACCATATTGAGTAAATATTAGCGACTAATAACACGTTCGGTGAAAAGATTTATATTATTCAAACTTGATTAAAAGTAA